CATGACCAATCAGTCTGAGAGCAACCAGGATTTTGAGGAAAAACTGATCTGTCTGCCCTTGAGTAGGTAGCCAATACCCTACCTTACAGAATATGATAGGCTTCACCGGTAAACCTCTAACATGGTTCGCGCAACGGCCCTTGGAATTCAGCGGCGGAAATTAATGCACACACCCAATACATCGACCCTCCATTCAGCTTCTACTCTCGATATTTTAGTGCTATCATCCCAGAAGCTGACTTCCTTCACTATTTGTATACAGTCGCACCCTTCGCGGCTGCCCTGGCCCCGCTCCCGTAGCATAGACAGCTGGGCGGCGGTCTAGGCAGCGTGATCTTTGGTTCGGATTCTGTTAGACCTATGCAGCCCCATGCCGCTCTAGCAGTGTTACTGCCGAAAACATGTTTAGCTACTCTACGCACTGGACCTGCGCCCATCTTATGATCCCGTACATTTGTGGGAATTCAGAGGTAAAAGATGACTGCGAGATTACCAATGCACTGAGCACGCTAAGGAATAATTGAACAAATTGCATAAAATTAACAGACACTCGCAAATTAGCAAGAAGACGATGAATGAGGCATTGTCCCCGACCGGTCAGAAATCCATCCAGAAATAACTGGTCATATTCATTCTTTCAGCTTCCTTCAGTGTTACGGACGACTCAACCGATTTGTGGACCCGCGCCACGAATCTTGTGTTCACAGGTGCATCACTGTACTTTCAGAAAGGAATAGCCAGTGCTATAGATCGATTATTGAAGGAAAAACTCGGGAGCAATGCGATTCCTATATGGGTGAGTGAAGATGCTTCCTTAATTCACCAGTGCATTCATTCCCAAAGTGGGGTGTAAACTCTGATATCAGTAGATCCTTCTTTATTTAAAATTAATCAACATTTCCTGCCGATGGAGCCCTCATTGAGCTTGAATTAATTTTTTCTTGAGGAGAATCTCTCCTTTTGAATTAGGGCAACATCTGTCTCTAAAAAGATGAGTAAGAAAGGTCGACAGATATTACTACAGGATACAGTATCAAACATGTCGTGGGTAGTGGATAACGCTGAACCTCTGCTGGATTTCGAGAGGCCAACACTTCACAAAGTTGTTCACGTAGGTGGTCTCAGTGTGCATAAACCCAAACCACTGAACAAGGTATTTTGTTTGCTTTTCCTGTGTATTTTCCTCAACTTAATCCTCTATACAATACAGGAGTGGGATGATATACTGAATCGAAGACCCCACACAGTACTGATCTCGTTTGGGAGTGTTGCTCGAAGTGCACTCATGCCCGACTTGATGAAGAAAACTGTACTCGATATTATCAAGTCGTGGGTCTTTTGGAAATAAAAAAATCACAATCATAACCAAAAATTGAGGTTTCATCGAACACTTTTTTAGTTGCATCTAATAAATTAGGCCGCTTAGTTGTAAATGTATGAAAGCCCACAGCGGTTCAATAAAGAGACGGGATGATTAAGATTTGCGTCGCTACCAACGGGATGAGCTGTATTGGCAAATATTTAGCTGTGTTTCTACTTTTTCGTTCCCAACTCCGTCGGTGATACGGTTCATGTCGGAGAAGCATAAGTCTGCTAAATGTCGAGACCCCGAAATGAAGTGCAGTAGTTGAACAAACGCGGACAACACCGTGGCACAGAGTAACTCGTCATCTCATTTGCTGCCTTTTGATGGTTTGGAACAACTAAGATTTTCAGAACAATCTTGTTGACGCAGGCAGAGATTCTCGTTTGCCCAAGGAGTTGAAACTCGTTTACGCTGCCAGAATTAGAAGCGACCTATGCAGAAATTAGTTGTCCTTGTGCTTATCCGAGAGATTCGATAGTATGGTGCCTAGTTCATACCCGCTTAAGACACACGAAAGTGGTGTCATCTCACTTTGGGTTGAGCGGATTGGTGGCGGTGAGAGGCATTCGATGAATTCGTCGCTGTTCACTGACGGCGACTGCAGACAGAGGATTAAAGTCAGAGAAAAACGATTCTACGATGGATTTTGAGAACAGCAATACTCTAGTTGGCCATTTCCGATTCGAGCAGATAGTGCAAAAGTGGCTCACGGGCCCCTAGTTCGAAAAAGTTCAAAACTGAGAATAATATGTCTTATGAGTAATGTGGTATAGTAATTTCAAGGCACAATATTTATCACGACGTCTCACCGGAGACAATGTTCCGTTACAAGGTTGGTGAGTTATGGGCAAGGCTTCGGCCTCGAACAGGACTTGAACCAAAATTGAGCTTTTTGGGCCCTATTCTCTTTATCCCGTACGCTACCAAGACTGTGTTTATCCCATCTTTCTTGATATAGGTATGGTGCCCAGAAAGCTCATGGCGGGTACGATTCCCAGGCCGAAGTTTTGTCCACAACTCGCCAAACCTTGTGAAACTTACGGATCGCGTACTGCGGCGAAATAACAGCAGAAGTTATATCTTGTTCAGTTCAATTTGTCAACGTTGAGCTCTTGCTGATCATTCCAATTTAGGTATCCGAATATAACATTTATCTGGAAATATGAAGAACCTGACGACAAAATGTTCAAAGGAATTGAAAACGTGATACCTACTAAATGGATGCCGCAAGGCGATTTGTTAGGTATTAGTATTATACAGTTTGAGGATCGCTTTCCAACTAGATAGTAATGAGCATTAATTAGCATTCTCCAAGCTTCAAACAGAAAACTTTCATCCCCATGCCAGGAATGAAACTAGCTCACCTCTGTGACCAAGTAAGACGATCAAAAACATTTAGTTTCACTGTACAGGGTGGCTACAAGGTATGGTCCGCCAAATCACACGTCGCTTGCTAACCTGTAAATCCCTGTTTCAGCTGTGCAATATATGCTCTGAATAAAGCATGCCAGTCATGCACTCTAGCCAAATTATTGCGACTGTCGGTAGAAGTACCTCGGAGAAATGCGACCATCTCCTCACCGTGCCACAATCGCACATATCGTGGACGAAGGATGTTCCGCCGCGGAGATTGCAAGAAGGTAGCACATTAACGATAGAACGGACAGAAGAATTGTGGCCCAGTGCAGACAGCGTGGACACCATCTACCACTTCCAAAATCAGGGCATCCAAGAACTGCCAATGTTCCTCGTATTCGGAAGGTGATCAAGATGAGGATCTCACGCAACGATGAGGTCAGAATGAACAAAATTGCTTCGGACTTGCATATCTCACGAAGAAGTGTTCAAAATACTGTGAAATGTGAACTAGATTTACACAGATACCGCTTCTTCCAAGGCCAGATGCTTGGCGAAGCAGCAAAGAAGAACAGAGTGGAAAAATGTCAGAAGCTTCTGGTAGCAGTTCGTGCGGGCCGCCTCTCGGACATCGTGTGGACAGAGATGAGAAAATCTTTACGGTCGAGGTCGCGCACGACAGCTAAAACCAGCGGCAGTTGCTACTTCGGGCAGAGAAAAACTCTAGGAAACGATGAGTAAAAACCAGGAGCCTGTTCCCGAAATCGGTGATGGTATGGGCCGGAATAACACCAGAAGGCAAAACACCTCTCGTTTTTGTTGATAAAAACATCAAAATCAACTCCGAAACTTACCAGAATGTTATTTTAAGGGACACGCTGTTGCCATGGGCTCGAAATCACTTTGGAGAACGGAACTTTATCTTGCAACAGAACTGGGCACCAGCGCATGGGTCGAAATACACGATTTCCTTCTACCGACATCATTTTCCTGGATTCTGAGGCAAAGACATGTGGCCGTCTATTTCCCCAGACCTCAATCCAATGGAATACTCCGTTTGGAGCTATCTGCAGCAGAAAATTTCTTCTTCACCCCACCGCAGTTCGGGCAGTCTTAAAGCAGCTCTTCAGAGGGAATGGCAGAAGATTGATGTCGACTACTTGCGGCCCACCGTGGGAGCCTTTACGAAGATATTGGAAGCTTGTATTCTGGTCAAAGGCGATCATTTTGAACAATACCTCGAATAAATGTTTCTTTTTCTTAGTCATACCATTTGACGAAAACACTTGAAGAAATGTGTCCTATTTATTTTTTTACGTGCGAATGAATACCGGACATACTTTGTAGCCACCCTGTATAAGTGAGGTCACGAGCTGTGTTCTTGTCGAAGCAATTTCGAATCTACACAGTTGCGTTACAATATTTGTATGAAATCTGAATAGTGCGTGCCTAGCATAATGTGGAAAATCTTTTGCATGGGAGGGGTGCTTCAAAGCGTAACGAATTAGATTTAGAATGTACAAATTGAAGTGATTCTTCATTTGTCATAAGTCCAAGATAGATATCATAGGAGTGATCGAAAAAGGGAAGCTGGGTTAAATCCCAGAAAACGGATATTCTTAACAGGATCCAAGGCATATTCGAGTGAAAAACTTTTTAATCCGGGACTGGATCTTTTCACTGTTTTGCACTGCTGTCGATAAGGTATATCTCTTACTCATGTTCTCCCTATAAGTAGAGTTTCGAAGCTCTCCATACAATTTGTGCCTATGACAGTCATCTTGATCATTGTGCCAGATCAAAAACTGTTTGATTTGCACATACCAAAATCATAACTAGCTCGTATAACTCTAATGGTAAGATTACTGTATTATTATAAAAGTTTCAGCTGATAATCGTCTGACTCTGTTTGTCACACATGGCGGCGTTAACAGCATGATGGAAACTGCAACGCTTGGAAAGCCTGTCATAACAATTCCACTATTCGCTGATCAGAGCAAAAACGCGAAGCTAATGCAGAAATATGGCTTTGGTATGTGATTGACTACAGAAAATTCCTTGAGTACGGCAAATATCTGAAGTTTATATATGAAGACTAAATACATTGATCCCATATCCGTTGATTTAGCGTATCGGGTCACACTGCATTTTCATTGCATTTTCGCTGAATTTATCGCCCACAGAAAGTAGTTCTTATGGCTCTGTAAATCTCACGCTTTCATTACAAAAACAGTTGGACAAGCGGGAAAATCACAATAATTCGAAGAAAAGGGCAGTCATGTCATAAGGGCGCTCGACTTTTCGGTAGTATGCAGGAGGGAAGGTTACTTCACGCGAGCACCCAAAGCGAGAGCGTGTCTGATTTTGTAACATTGTAGAAACGATACTGTTGAGAGTGGAATCCCCATCCAGCTTTCCGGAACGCTTCTAAAATACGTTCTGGCCACTGCCTTTTGAGTAGGAGCTTTGTCAGAGGAGTTTATAATTCTGTTTTGATGTTTCTTTATGAATGAGTTTTACCTGCACAAATCCATGTAAATGGCCAAGTACGGGTTGACAAAGACAACTTAATATGTTGTTTCTGCTGCTGCCTGTTCTGTAGATTAGTTTTCTTCGCTCTCGAGATTCTTCCTCCCTGTTAATGATGTATGAAGGGCCGTTTTATTTGTCATTGTCCGATAAAGTTATGATCAACTGCAAGACCTGCAACATCAAATCTTCACTATGCTTTACTGTGAGCAGCAGAATTTACCATCTAGAGGGACCCTTTTTGATAGGGGTTCTTTTGCCTTTTTTTTCACAAATCTGAAGGAGACTTCACTTGCGTTATTTTCACAAATTGCATGAGTTTTATTAAGGTATCATAGTGGAGAAAACAGAGCTACTTGGTGGCAATAGACTTCATGAAGCCATTGATCGAGTGATCAAAGACAAAAAGTAGGTGATAGTCGTCTACTTGTAGCCACGATCCTGATCGTTTGAACAGAGCGATCTGTTACCAGTAGAAGAGAAGTGAAATACAAGTTTCAGGTACCAAACCTCGGCCACCCGAATCAGCCGTCTATTAGCGCGACGTCCTTTCAGCCCTGAGGACAAATTAGTGAAGACCGTTGAACTTGCTGCTGAATTTGGTAACATTCCAGAGCTGAAGGCAGCTGGCAGAAACCTCAGCTTTTTCGTCTACTATAACATAGATTTAATTGTGATCTTGAGCGTTGTATTTTTATCAGTGTTTGGTCTAATATTGTACATCATACTACGGGTATGCCGGCTCTGTTTCTCATCGAAAAAGCAAAAAAAGCAGTGAGATGATTTTCTGTAAATATTTTCATGTAAATTCGCTTCAGATAAATATCTCAACGTTATGTTTACCATGCTTTTTCTCTGTCGCTCGAGTACGGCAGCATTTTAATGTCGAGTGAATGCAATGTTCAGCGCCAGAGGGAGAACCTACCGTTGGGTAAAACGACATAACAACCAATCAGGGCTTCTAAGTGTACAGCATGAGTGGTCGAGTGGTCTACTTGTAAGGCGCCAGACTCACTCGAGAACATGCTTGTCGCGAAATAGCCGGGGTGGGTACTATAGTACCGGTACTATGGTACCCCTACGAGGGCAAGTCCCGCTCGTGCAGATTTTTGTGAAAGGCCAGTAACTTACTCGCTGAAGACATTGTAGGTCCTGGTACTGCAACAGTTTAGTAATGTATGGTAGAAAACTTGGAGAAGAATGATTCCCCTCAGGTTTTTTTGGGTAAGAGTGAGGCTAAAAAAAGGAAGAGTAAGGCTAAACCTGAGAAGAAAACAGGTGCAAAAAAATGAGCCCGCTCTGTTTTGATATGGCTTTAACTACACTATGTGGAAGCTTATATGTAGGTAATTCCGAGGGCTCGGAAACCACCTAGAATTAAGTATACTCTTGAAATTCTAGATGACATCTGAGTAGTTTAGAGAAGTACGCTTCAACCTAAGTTAATGCAAAAAAAAACGAAATACTCCGATCGCTATTTTAGGAATTATTTCTGAACAGATACTTACCCTTTCTGTAAACAAAAGAACCCAGATGGAAACCCAGATGGATCTTTTTTAGATTTTTTTCTTCATATAATTTCTTTTTTGTCAAAAACTCAGTTTAGTGTTCTACTTCGTCTGCCTTATAAAAGTGTATAAATTTTTTGAGGGACGATAGTGAGAATACCAGAGCCACTTGACGTCAATGGACTTCACAAAGTCATTTACAGATTCCCTAAAGTCGAAAGGTGCGTGAATGCCATTCATCTCCGGAATATCTTGTTATGAAAGCACCTAATCTTTTGAACAGAGCGACCTCTTCGCCGTCTTTATAAAATGCCATTATATACAATTGAAAGTACGAGATTTAGCTACCAAATCTTTCAAAGAGGATCAGCCGTCCACCATCGGGCTGTCCTTTGTTCCTGAAGACAAGATGCTACGAACTGTTAACTTGGCTGCTGAACTCGGTGATATGTTAGAATCCGAAGTAGCAGGCATTTGGCTTCATTGATAGGTATGGTGTTATTTCATTTCTGTCTTTGTGCTACATTGCACTACTGACATGCCGACTCTTTTTATGGTCAGGATGGGAAATTTTCGGGAGATTGTTTTCCCAGAAACATTGAAAATTGCCTCGGACAATTAACCCGATATTATTCACACCTCATTGCGACATATTTCTCAGAGAAGGTGTAGTGGCAAGTGGCGCTCTATCACACACACGTGGACACGGGTTCGAATCCCTGATTGCTATCAGCTTAGGCCGATCAAGCTTTCTAACCTTCCGTAGTCTGGGAGGACAAGTATTCTGACTGGTTTAATAGCCTGACCACCACAAATCATTGTATAGACCCCATACGCATCCAATGCGCCACTGCTATTTCTAATGAAAGTCGATTGTGGAGCGCATCCTTCATAGGGGATTAATTGGTTGACGCCGGAAGTCTTTGGTTTGATCTTTTGCATGGGTGTTAGTGAATATCGTTATGGAGAAGTCTTGTATGTAATTCATTCTACTGAGCCAGGATGAGCCGAGACTTTGAACACTACCATAGCCAATTATGAAAACATCTATTAATAAACACGCCTATCACTTTTTAATGGCTTTTAATGGACCTACTCGATCATTCAATGCCACTCCTCACGCAATTACATCAACAATTGTTGGCAGAAAGTCTCTCTTTAGTTTCTGATCTGTGGTTGTAGAAATTTGTAATTTGTGTCACCTTGAGTGCGTACCGCCTTCGAACATGTTCCGATAACCTTGCTCCCGATTACTGCATTGGTCTTGCGAACAGTTTCTAGCGATTAGTCGCCAGACCGTAGGTCACTTTTTCTGGAAAAAAAGCATTTCATGTTGTTTTATACGCCGTGCCGTATGTTATAGTCACCGCCAATAAAGCGCTTCAACCATAACAAACTACTAAATGTCCAGGTTTCAAACAGGCTAAAAGTTGGAATCATTACGCTCATTTAATGTTTTTCTCCCTCATTAATTCATAGCAATTGCTAATACTAGTTATGGGCAAAACGTTGACACTCGAACAGGACTTGAAAAAACTGGTTCTGGGGCCGTTCGTTCCACTCATTGCTAGGCGTCTTTTCGGATACATTTCACATGTGTTGAAGTTGAAGTCAGTTGAAGTTATATTGTACTTTTATCGCTATGAGTTACCACTTTTCGATGACACAGCCATTAACTGGTTCAACAAAAAATCGAGAATAATTTAAGAAGTTCGCTAAGCTACGTCCGTTATCATGGACTTCAGAAGAGCCGAACATATGACGCGGACAAGATAATGCTCCCAACCATAGGTTTCGCCAAGGCCAACCGAGCCTTCTATCCTTCCCGGATCGGTTAATCGGTACCAGAACCGTTCGGGAGGACAAAAGCACTGACTTGTACATCGGCTGGCCACGGAAGTCATTGTATAAGCCATTCAGTACACCACTACGATTCCTTCTGGAAGCTGAGTGCGTGGGCATATCCCTCAGATGGGATTGCCTAACGCCCGAAGACTTTATCCTTATACTTTGAAGTCCATACTTTGAGCATAGGTTTCGATAATTAGGAACTACACTAGATACGACACAATTTTAGTTTAATGGTTCTTCATTTTTTACGTCAAGTTCATATGGTCCTATGCTCTCTATTCTGTTGTTATACCAAGCCAGTATGTGATACTAGTCGTCCGTCAAAAACAACGAACTGAAAACTTTTCCCCGATAGAGCATTTGTGAAGTTTGGTCATCGAATCAGCTGTCATCCTAACGCCTGTTGGACGGCGGAACCCGTTGGGAAACCTGTTGTCTAAAGGTCGAGACCAACACACATGGCGCATCACTAGCTTATACAGTTGCGTACTGGAACTCTCGAGTCAATCTATGGGACATTACTGTTACTAATTGATAATTCTTCTAGCGACGAAATATCGGGTTAATTGAGGCGGAATTTGATTACTCCGAATAGACGATTTAGAAATGACGTTCTCCTTCAACCACGTTCACCTGACAGGTGCTAATGCGGGCAAGTGGTCATATGCGCGAGTTTTCGTCGTTGTTTTGGTTACGAACAAACACTATTGATTTTGTGTAATAGCGATATTGAGTAATCTATGTAAAATTGCATTTATTTCACTACTCTTTAACTTTCTACTTTTGTTACTCTGCTTAGTGGATTGAATTGCTTCTTGAACTCCTCCTCTTCTTTATAAGCTTTACTAGCCTGACGTTCAGAAAAAATCCCATCTTTCAGAGCCTGAAAAGATCGCAGCTATTTATGACTATCCGATCAAACATCTTTATTGCCCCGTATAGTTCCGAACTCCCATGGCGCGGGTCTAAAGGGTCACGGTCACGTGGTCTGAAGGAGGACCACTAGCTTGCGGATTCTTCGAATCCAACCCACAAACGATGAAGTGATAGACCGAGTCAGCTAGGTAGACCTTCATCGTGACTCACTGCGGTAATGCTGACCTTAGAATTTTTGAATTCGATTCGCTTTCGGATCGGTGAAACCCTGATTGGGACTGCTTAACGCCGAAAGACTTGACCCCTTCATTTTTGTAAACAAGCAGTTGCCATCGATGCGATACAAGCCTTAGACTAAAGACTAGTTGTGACGAATTCACCTCATTTCCCCTAAAACCCCCTCAGTAAGTGTTTTTGGAGAGAGAAGAACAGAGGGAGGAGAAACGGTGAAAAAATCTCACAATTGAGAAACCTCCGCAACTTCCAGCAACAAAGATCAAGAGACCAAAAGCTAGCCACCGTACCTACTACGTTGTTCTCATCGGAACACTGTTTACTGACATCACACGTGGTATTTGCTCAACGGCATTTCGGTACACACGTGACAAGTACTTGGCCGCTCTGCTCCACGCTGAAACACATCTAACATTTGCATCTTTAGGTGCTCAGTGTCCACGCGTTAACATAAGTTAATGAATCAGGCCCTGCTGCTCTCCCCCTCTAATGAAAGACACAGTTCACGATAAAAATGGTTACTGAGATTCCACCACAGAATGAATTTGAGGCGCCCGCGTATACCGTACCTGGCACTTCTGTATCGAAAAACGGCCTAGTTAATAAGTTGTAAAGACTTAAAGATTGGCCCGTATGTATCCTCGGACGAGTTTTTCCGACATAGTAGAGGCTGCACCGATCACAAAGGGACCATGTGGGATTTTCAAACAACTTGTCATGACCCATAGCGATAGTAAAAGACAGTTCCGTACTGTTCCAGCTTGATGTAGTCAGCTCCTTGTGAATTGCAATAATTGAAATCTTGGAATCCCTCCATGTTAATTCAGCCCTGGCAAACTCGTCCTATCTCTACTTTCCCTGCTTTTGAGGAGCCATATTTTTCTCAAAATCTGCGAATTCTCTCGCTTCCTCCGCTACCGATTAACTATTCTCAATCTATACTTCCGCTTTTCGAATAAAAACGGATACCTCAAAATTATCATGAACTGTGCCTCTAAAATCACTCACAAAGCCAATTTTCAACTACTCAGGCAAGTCGCCAACCTTATGAGGAAATGGCAGTTTTTCAACAGATCGCCCTTTGAACGAAGATTACTATAGACGATTGGTTGCCGTTCCGAAAACAAAACTAACTACCCCTACCTCAGGCCAATGCTCAACATAGTTCACCCATCTCTGCTCACCCTAACGTCATGCCAGGTTGATCCAATCCTGCTTTTGAGCGCCTTACGAGGTAGTGAGCATGACTAGTCTCTAGCTATAACGTACTTTTCGTATAAGTGCAAGTTTATGCAACCTGTAATCCAAGTGTCATCAAGAAAAAAGCCATTTACAAGTACAGGAGAGAGCTGACACCATCTATTATACATGGATGAACTCGAAGGTAAAACTAAGTCTATGTTCACAACATAGAAAGGTGGAAATAAATTTGAGCGAACCATAAGCTATGAAATGTTTAGATGCAATTTCTCTGATTTTTCGAAATTTTTGGCTCCCAATTCCCATATTTAAAGTGATAAAGGGATCCCAGTCAAGCGGGTTTTCCGTTATTTCCGCAGTTACTTTGAACCCTTTGTATTACTCCCTATTACTCCCTCTATTAAACATACTCGCCGAAATTTGGGTTCACGAAGTAATGATCGACGTGGTGGTATTATGGATTGCAAAAATACTTTCATGGAACAATATTGATGCGGCAGGAACAACATTAATACGAGGGCAAGGGTTAAGGAATAAGGTTATTATTGCAGCTATAATTTCGACCGTAGAAGCTTTTTACCATCTCAGATTTTATCATTAGGTATCACAAAAGTTTATTAGGTTCCACATTTAGGTATGTACATAGAGAAGGCATTAAAGTACTTCAAGTCATAATCAAAACAATGAAGTTTCCTAAGAATGTGTGACGCATATTTACGAAGTGATATCAAGTTTTTCCAAGCTCTCCCTAGGCACTAATTGCTCGGGACAGGGGAAACGACCGCCTTAGGTGTGACCTCGCCTGACACTGATAGGCATGTCTGGACTATCTCATTGCTGAGCAGCGCATTTTTTTCCTTCAGAGCGATCTTCTCTTTATGGCAATTTTGCCATAAGAGGTTTCATTGAATTTTTGTGGCATATACGCAAAATGGTTTCGAGGTCGTTGAAAGTGTTTAAGTATATTTTTTCACTTTTTTCAGAATTCTATTCATGTCTTTCTGTAGAGGTTTGTCACAAACAGTTTTTTTCATAAACTAGAACCTACCAGAATTTTTAACCAATGTTACAACTTTTCCAATGCCTTCCCAATAGTCTCATATCCTCGATTTTTATAGTTCATCAATCACACCACTCATTTCCTCTCGATATCAGTAATTCCAGTTTTCAGATGATTTTATTATGGTTGTCAACAATATTGTTGTTGTGCGATTCCTACAAAATACTCGTCATGAATCCGAAGTACGCGTATAGTCATATGAATTTCATGGGTAAAATAGCTGATACTCTTGTTGAAGCTGGCCATGAGGTGGTGAGTCGACTTTAATTTCAACAGTTCAACAATTAGGGAATATGTAAGAGTAACAGTAATGCGATGGCTAAATGTAGAGAATGTAGGAAAAATTATCATCCACGAAAAAAAGCGTTCGGCTTCAATACCAAATTCCAAGTCAATGGGCGCAAATTGATGAATTCCACCATAGTTTGTTGCTCGGATAATTGTGTGTACGATAAGAATTACGGTTACTGGACGTCAATCTTCAATTTCTGGGATGCACTAACGCATTCTACTGCAACATAGAATCGTAATAGCGTTTTGAATGTGTATGTGGCCTACACAATGAAAGGCTAACGACGGCAAGCCAAAGTACAAGTTAGCGTCCCAGACGATGATGACAACTAGCAACCTTGAAAAGATAGAAGAACCCATCACCCTATCATTCCGGGTTTCGATTGACTGACCCGGTGTGTGTAGTGGCACATGGCACTTCCTGCAGGACATGAAACACTGTTTTCACCTGTCTTGCGCTGATGGAATACTTAAGCTGCATCTGGACCGGTACACAAAAGTGGCCTTAGGGCTTACTCAGGCTTAACCCTGTATCATTTTCTTCGAAACAATTTCACACCTTCTAATACGGTAAGATTGATTGTTTTCTAATTGAAAGTTATGTCTTATCAGAGTAGAGATTTGTCTACTCGAAATATTGTATACCAGGGCTTCTACTCGGCGTATAGATCAGAAAGTATTTAGAAATGATACAAAAAACTAATTTTGAAACAATGCTGATTTTAGGTCACATTTCAACCTATAATTGAACCGCTACATGTTGGTAACGGAACAACCAAATCTCGTGTGATGCAATGTGGTCCGTATGCTGAGCTTGCACCAGAGATGGATATACTCCGCAATGGTAATCATTTGAAGCCGTTGTGGACGGCCAGTGCCACGAACCCTGTTGGAGTAATCGCGGTAATTCATGATTGTTATTTTGCCATTGTTAGTAATGTCTCATGAAATGGTCTTGGGAGAGCACGATCGCCTCACTTAAAGTGGGTAATGTATCAATGTGTTTGAGTGACAACTGTTTTGTGAGTTTCGGAAATGAGAGTAAAATGATTAGGTTTTCTCACTATTACCAGACTTGGATAAGTGTCTTCATTCGAAGCCAACTATTGCATCAATATCGTTTCAGTTTGTGCCAATGCTTTCCAGTATGACAGAGAAGGCATTAACAAGTAAGTGACGGTCATCTACTCAGCCGAGACATTCTTATAAAAGAAGTATAACGTTCAGATGTGCTTGATGACAAGGAAGTTCTACAACAGTTGAAAAAGGAAAACTTCGATGTTGCTATAGCGGAATTGTTTGACTTTATCGGTATCGGTGAGTAAGTGCTTTGTCTTGGAGAAACCCCTCACTATTCAGACACTGCCGATTCAGACGGTCTGAAAATAGTCAAGTACGTCAATATTGCGAAAAATCTCTCTCTTGAAGGTGCTATATATTAGTCTGAGCCTTTATAGCATCTTTACAAAATGACAAAAAAAAATCTCATAAAAAAAACTATCCGTGTTATGATCGTTGCAGTTAGTCCCTAAGTTATGTCGGTCAGGGAAGAGAATAGTATTCCTTTCTCTTCGGACCACACTGCTCCATTTCATCAAATGACCTGCATTAAGCACAGTTCACGATAATTTTGGGTAATCCAGATTATAACGTAAAATGGAAGACAAGATGGAAAATAATGCGATGAAGGCGAAGAAAGTGTGTGAACGGTGTTTCCAAAGTGAAGAAAGGCTTTAAAAAAAACGTTGAAAAGGGAGCTAGACGAGATTGAGACCAGAAAAATGAAAACGAGTGGGGCGTTTGGACGAGCTATCCAGTGTGTGTCAATGCGTGGGTCCTGGTGCGTACAGCTGAGTTCAGCAAGCAAACATGTCCTTTAAAGTTCATTCACGCATAAGCATAAGTTAACAAAAAACCGTAGTAACAATAGAAACAGCCCGACTTCCTCAGTCTTTTGAGGTAGGAAGTTAGAATAAGGATGGCAGCAGCAAAAAGAATAACAGAGAATAATAGAGAAGGAGAAAAACATTTCCTCATCACTAGGCGATTAGCTGATTGCGTGCTGAATGTGAGGTTCATGACGCGAATATTGCAATCTGTATCGCCTCGACACTCGTGACACAATATCGGTCGAAAGGCGGGCATCCGGAAGAACCGGTAACGGGGCTCCCACTATGCCCGAGCTGTTGAGTTTTGGAACACTATAGCGTCCTTCCTGTTACCCTTGGGGACCAATGGTTATTTCTAGGGGAAGAATTCAGAAACCATTTTCATCGTGAACTGTGCCTTTAGGGCTTTTGAAGCACGGCGAGCGGTTCAAGTGCATTGTCCTTATAACGTCGTGGGTAAGAAGGATGAATGCTGTTCTTTCAATAAATCTGCGACCTGTTGTAACAGATGTATCGTATACAGCCCAAGAATTCAAAGGGTTGCGATTTCTAATTGCGATTCAACATAAATATTTATTTTAAGAAAACTCTGAGCACCAACGTTTGAGCAAAGAGAGGGAGCGCGCTTCCCACGAAACTTCAATAGTGGTCGTGACCTGAAAATTGCTGAATATCTTCGAAGTATTAATCTGCACTAGTCACTAAGTAAACTGCTGCCCTGTGCCTACTTGAAGCTAACGACACTTCTTAAAAACAACAAAGCGAAGAAAGCGATACCATGGTGATGGCCGTGGTGACCGAAGCCGTGGTCGAAATCGTGATGATCATGAGGTCCATGGTGGTCGTGTCCATGACCGTGGTGATCGTGGTCGAAGCCATGGTGGTGTCCATGAGGGTGATGATGGTGGTCGAAGTCATGATGGTGGTCATGAGGGTGATGGTGGTGGTCGAAGTCATGATGGTGGTCATGAGGGTGATGGTGGTGGTCAAAGTGATGATGGTGTCCATGGCCATGGTGATCGTCGTCGTGATCATGTCCATGATGTCCATGGTCATGATCGCCGTCGTGATACTCGAAACCGCCTTCGTGGTGCTCCTTGCCGTGGTCCCCTTTACCATAGTCGTCGTCATAATCAGATCCTATAAGATCACTCATGTTCTCTTTCAGATATTAATATACGCTCAAAGATTTACCGTAGTACGATCCATGCTCTTTCCCCTTGGCGTAACTTCCCCATCCACCGTACTTGTGACTGCCGTAGTCTCCATAACCTCCCGTGTCAAATCCTTTGGTGTAGCCAGTGCCATACTTCGAATCATGGTCGTGTCCATGGTGTCCAGCGCCGTATTCACCGTAGCCGAAGCCGTATTCTAAACGGGGCTTACGTTTTGAAGAGTTATAAGCCAGTCGGAATGCTGTGGATAAGGTTTTTTCCTGACCATGTGCCGAGACGGCATTGAACAAGGCAGCCAATGCAAGGAAGGCGAAGGTGCTCATCTTCTTATTCGGATTACAGTGGATTGGAAGGCGATCTTCGTGGCGATCTACTCTGCTTATATACATTCCTCTACTGCGAGAATCAATATTACGGGTTGGTTTTTCTAACCATTCTATCGTGTTCTGGTTATGCTTCAACGGAACTTTATTTCGAACCCACTGGCTGTCATTGTTCTACGTGCTTGCGAAGACGTTAGAGTTCACTTCATGTGGTTGATTAGTACGGCAAAACATTCGCCATGATTTCGGGACGCATGGTTGCCAGATTTTCATACGCATCAATCTTTTCAAAGTGTATGGATGGGAAAACCAAACCCATTGCCGATTAGGCGCACACGAACATACACATATTCCCACCTCTACTTGCAGAAATACTGGCCGGTCGCGAAAGTGATAGTAGACGATATGATCTGATAACGACCCTAGGGAGACCACAGACGCTGAGTCTGTTAAGCCTTTCGGGTTAGGATGGAAGCTTTCGCACTATGGTTGGTGATATGCAATGGAACACGATTTAGTTGATAAGGAATCAAGATGAAAGTAGAAAGTAGGGCTGCTAGACCCCTTGTTCTTTTGACGGATCAATGCAGTCAATATGTGATATGGTGCATGAAGCGTAACCGAAAATTTTCGGATGAGCTAACGAGCTTTTTGGACGAGCGTTTGGACGAGTTACACGACATGTATCATTGATTCCTGGCGCGAATAGCTGACTGCGGCAAGCAAAAACTCATTCACTCATAAGCATAAGTTAACAGAAAAGTTTGATAACAGCAAAAATAGCCCATCTTTTTCATGCTCTTGAGGTAGAAAGTCAGAATCAGAATCGCAGCAGCAAAAAGAATAACAGAGAAGAAAAGAATTGGAGAAAAACACCGCCTCATCCTCGGCGATCAGCTGATTGAGTCTGTGTCTTAGAACGAATATTGCGATCTGTATCGCCTTATTGCCTCTACATTCGTCTGACGTAACATCGATTGAGGGGCGGGAAGTCCGGGCGATCCGGTAACAGGGCTCCCACGATGCCCTAGCTGTTGAGTTCTGGGACTCAACTGCTAGGGCACCCTCGGGGACTGAGTCTTCTTTGAGGGAGAACTCGGAAACCATTTTATCGTGAACTGTGCTTTCAAAGAAGGCCTTGAAAGCCAATTCATATAAAAATGGCTTGAAGGTATCCCGCTAGAATAAATCTGCGACCCTCTCGTAAACCATATGTGGCACTGTCAGGCCCGAAAAAGCGCTAGATAGGACGTTCTAAAGATTCAAGGATTGTCTCGTGTGTATGCGCGGACGAGCTTCTACGGCAGGCTGCACCATTCACAAGAGATCCCAATTAAAGAGCTCGAACAACTTGTCAGGGCCCATAGCGACAGTTAAAGGCAATTCTGGACTGAATTGGCTTGATGTATTCAGCTCTTTGTGCAATTGCAACAACTGAAATCTCGTCCTAGTACCCCTTCCACGTTATTTCAGGAATGGTTTTCTCGTCCGATCTATATTTTCCCTGCTTTTTTCCTACTTTGAGGAGTCCTATTTTTCCTAGAATCGGCAAAATTTTTCGATTTCTTTAGTAGCGATAAACTATTCCCAACATATGCTTCTGCTTTTCAAATACTTCAAACTGTGGCCTTAATTTCTTATTGATGGTTCAAACGTTAAAGTAACGATTAAAGAGGTTGATTTCAGAATATTCCCTGAAAGCCTCGGAGGAGTACGTGCTTTTAAACTTTGCACTTTCAAAAACTTTATATTTTCCAGGCACCTTGGAAGCAATAGGCCTCAAAAACATTGTCGGAGCCCATACATGCGCTCTAATGGAAGGCACATCGTTGGCTTTAGGCGTCCCTGTGCTACCCAGCTTCATGCCAGGTGAGAATAATTCTGTCACTTGAAGCTCTCAAAGTTTTACAGTTGATAGTGGTTCTGTCTTGTATGACACATTTTCATATCAAACATTCACTGAAGCGATGAGCTGTGGACGAGCAGTGCTCTGAAATTTTTTTTAGTCGATCTCATTTCAACATATTTATACAATCCCGACGGATACGCAGCCTAATCGTGGCGTTAAGTTCGTGTCCAACTATAATAATTGAGTATATCAATGGAAACTCAAAAAAACTTTTTTCAAAGTGAAATTGCAGTTGTCCTCTACCGTACTTGAGGGGTTGGCATATCTACTGGTAAATGAACGTGGTTTCCTCAAGCGAAACCCCATACTGACCTTCTGGTTGACTTGTTACCATTTTATGTGTGGAGGGTGAAAGGAAATTGTGATAGTGTACTGGTCCGATTGATTTGGATTCAGTATTCATCAATCCCTGGAGGTGGTGGTGTAGTGGCAAGTGACGCGCTATCCCACACCCATGGTCACCGGTTCGAATCCTGGATCGGTATCCGCCTCGGCCAGCAAAGCCTCCAGCCTTGCGGGGTCGGTTAATTGGTACCAGACTCGTCTGGGAAGACAAAAGCCGCTATATCACGCTTGCATGTGAAGTTATCATATCGAGCGGATTTACGCTTCAGCTTTATCCTCATACTATCCTTACCTTCCATAACTCCCTGACCCTAGGATGCCCTCTAACACAGTTCTGAGGCACCCTTTCAGTCGCCACATCAGGACGGCAGGGTGGACAAAGCACGACATTTTTTTATCTCACTCACCTTAATTTTTTTCATAAAAGGAGTCTGAAAAAATCTTTGCTTTTTTCAGCCTCTCTCGGTGTCACAAACGACTCAACTGATTTATGGACACGTGCAACAAACCTCTTATTCACATGTCTCTCATGGTATTTCCAGACAGGCATCGCAAGTGCTGCAGATCGAGTAATGAAAAAGAAACTTGGGCCAAATGTCACACCAGTTTGGGTA